CATCCTAATTATTGGTATGCTACTTTTTTTTTTTGCATTTAGTGAATGATATAATTAATATACATTATCTGTTCTTTAGTTTGATTGGCTAATCGGCAAATTGAGTCACATGATATGAAAAATTGATTAGTTGCAACTATAGTTGGCAGCTAATCGATTGGAAAATTTTTATCAACTAGGAACACTAGACCAAAATTATAAAAGTTTGCCGAGATCATCAAAATTTACTCATGAAGTCATAGTTAATTAGTAAAATCCGCTACGTAGATCATGTTAGGGTGAAATCCGCGTTTTAGCTGTTTTTTTATTACGCAAAAGCGGATTTTCGACCCCATGTACGTGCGTAATTCACAGCGCGGGTTTCACCCTGCCGTATTAAAATTAATACAATAGAATTATATAAACATTCCGAATAATAACGATGCATTACGCATGTCACTATATCAAAATATTAATACGTAACAAGTACAATCATCGCTCTATATAATCACCCTCCCTATAAGCACATCATATCTATTACACTTCAAATTTAAACCAAATTACTATTAAACTTATAAAAATATACCTCTATATAGTCACAATCTCTTTATAAGCACTTTTTTTTAAAAGTTCTTAATTAACCAACTTGGTGATTATAAAGAAGGATGACTGTATACAATCAACTAACCAAATATAAGAAATTTACCGTACAGAGTACTATAACAGATTGATTTTTTAAGAACACTATTTATGCATATACGTGATGCCAAAATCATGTGATTTTTAAATTTTCACTAAGCATCACATCGTCAACTACTCAGAAGACGATCAACCAATCATACGATTCAATTTTTATTATAGTTTAATATTTAATACCAGCAATTTCACAACATCACGGACATAGTTGACATGTATTGCTTATTGCGGTTTGCAAAAAGATGTGACATCTGCAAAGAAAATCAGATGATTTCTCAATTCTGAGATTTCAAAGTAAATGATGTCGCTGATCGAATGTGATCGATAGACTATTTAGAATCACCGAAATTCCCCACTATTGTTACCACAAAGTTCGTGGGATTACATCTTTTTTGCAAACTGCTATAGTGTCGGCTCAGCTCCGATGAACTCTGACTCGAAATTTTTGAAGAAATTATTTACATCTAACCTTAATATCGTATTAATGAACTTGATACAATGTAATAGATGTTATGATAAATAGATTGTACAAAAATATATACAATATACTCTATAATTGCACCCTCCATAATTGCACCTATATATAAATTCTCTCTAAATGAACGCCCTGGCATGGTCCCAAATATATAGAAACATAGTAAAAATGCCCTCTATAAATGCACACCCTCTCTAAATGAACATTTTTAAAAATTTGTCCTATGGTCCCGAGGGGGGTGCAATTATAGAGGTTCGACTGTATATTCAAATATCAAGCAGTTTAATTTTATAAAATAAACCCATCTTAAACGCTAGTATATGATTACTAATCAATTACTACATATGAATCAATTTTTGGAAATTCTTCAAAGAATCCCTACATTAAATATTTGTCAAAATGCATTCGGGCAATCATATAGAAAATAAAGTTTATTCTTGTAGTTAACATACCTGAAACAATTTAATAGCATGTGCGACATCGTCGGTACCTGCTGTTTCACGAATTGAATGCATACTCAATTGAGGATTCCCAACATCTAGTAAGTATAATCATATGTTAATGATTTAATTTATTTGAATTCATAACAACTTAGTTATAATTTACCAACGGTACGCAATCCTAAATTTGCACTTATCATTGGGCCAATAGTGGACCCACAAGGACTATCAGCTCGAACACAAAATTCTTGCAATGGAACTTTGTATTTCTTTGCAGCTTCGCGTAATATAAGAGATGTTGCGGCTGTAGTAGCATACCTCTGTTTATATTATAATATTTTTGTTTAATTTTTCAATACGAACATTCGAGAATATAATAAAATTATAGATAATGACCTGATTAGCGTTAATTTTGACAACGACACCTTTATGCATCTGGGGTCTGTGATTTTCCTCATATTTTTCACTACAATATCAAACGTTTAATAAACAGAAAAAAGAACAGATAATGTATATTAATTATATCATTCACTAAATGCAAAAAAAAAAAGTAGCATACCAATAATTAGGATG